CGAAGGTTGGAGACTGGGCGATAGTTGGCCAATACATCTGGATCCAGGGAAGGCTTCTTCAGGAGGGGTCTCACCACCGCCTCCTTTAGGGTCGCGGGGAAGACACCCTCCCATAAAGAAGCGTTTATAATTCCCTGGAGCCAGGCTCGTGTACCCTCCCGAGCCGCCAGTACCAGCCAGGAGGGACACGGATCCAATAGATAGATAGATAGATAGATAGATAGATAGATAGATAGATAGATAGATGATAGATAGATAGATAGATAGATAGATAGATAGATAGATAGATAGATAGATAGATAGATTAGATAGATAGATAGATAGATAGATAGATAGATAGATAGATGATAGATAGATAGATGATATATAGATAGATGATAGAGATAGAGACATAGATAGATAGATAGATATTTGATAGACATAGATATTTAATAATAATAATAATAATAATAATAATAATAATAATAATAATAATAATAATAATAATAATAATAATAATAATAATAATAATAATAATAGTAATAAAGTTGGAAGGGACCTTGGAGGTCATCAAGTCCAACCCCCTGCTCAGGCAGGAAACCCTATACCATTTCGGACAAATGGCTGTCCAGTCTCTTCTTAAAAACTTCCAGTGTTGGAGCATGATCATGGGGATGCTGCAACGGTCATAAGTGTGAAAAACAAATGTTTGTAAGTTGAGGACTGTCTGTATTGGATGCCCCTTCTAGCTAGATGAGATGCTCCTTTTTTTAAGAATTGTAGAATCCAGGGCTCAGGAGGGACACTGGAGGTCCTCTAGTCCAACCTCTGCCCAAACCATCACAGACAAATTCCTGTGGACGTCAACTCCCAGAATTTCCCCACTGGGAACCCTAACCCTAACCCACTGGGGGATTTGAAGTCCACATCTTCAAATGGCCAAGCTTTAGAAACCCTGAACCAAACAAGGCAAGTTTTTTTAGTGGTTCTTCATGAGAAGGCGGCAACATCGGGGCCAGGCTGATTTCCCATCCTCCCCCGTGGGTCTTGATCAGCTTAAGTATGATCCTGGAAGGATTCCAGTTGATTTCCAGCCTTGAGTTCGACCTTTGAAAAGAGGATTTTGTCCTTTCATTTCATTTTAATGTATGCCGATTAGTGTACATTTAAAGTGACAATAAATTTAATATTCTATTCTATTCCATTCCATTCCATTCTATTCTATTCTATATTCTATTCTATATTCTATTCTATATTCCATTCTATATTCTATTCTATTCTATTCTATTCTATTCTTTTCTATATTCTATTCTATATTCTATTCTATTCCATTCCATTCTATTTTCTATTCTATTCTATTCTATTTTCTATATTCTATTCTATTTTCTATATTCTATTCTATTCTATTCTATTCTATTCTATTCTATTCTATTCTATATTCTATTCCATTCCATTCCATTCCATTCCATTAATTCTATTCTATATTCTATTCCATTATTAATATTAATATTAATATTAATTCTATTCTATTCCACTCCTATACCTATACCTATTCCACTCCACTCTTCCTATTCCAATTCCAATTCCAATTCCAATTCCAATTCTATTCTATTCTATTCTATTCTATTCTATTCTATTCTATTCTATTCTATTCTATTCTATTCTATTCTATTCTAATTCTTTTCCATTCCACTCCTATACCTATACCTATACCCAGGGCTTTTTTTCTCATAGAATGCCCAGAACAGAGTTCCGGCACCTTTTTTGGATGGAATCTTGTAGGGTAGGCAAGGCGGGTTGTATGACATGTGTGAGTTCTGGCACCTTTTTTTTTTTTTTTTTTAGAAAAAAAGCTCTGCCTATACCTATTCTGTTCTGTTCTGTTCTATTCTATTCTATTCTATTCTATTCTATTCTATTCTATTCTTTTCTATTCCACTCCACTCCACTCCACTCCACTATTCCTATTCCTATTCCTATTCCTATTCTATTATTCTATTCTATTGTGTATTATTCTATTCGTATTTCTATTCCTATTCTTATTTCTATTCCTATTCTATTGTCTCCTCTAGAACCCCAGTATTCCAGATGCCGTGTGTTACCGTGACAAAGACTGTCCTCAAGGGGAAGCAGTGATATCCGGCAATGGTATAATTGCTATTAATATTATTTCAGACAGATAGGATCTGGAATTTGTAATCTATTCACTGAGTCCTTCCCAAGGACCCGGGATAGGCAGATGTTCTTGTTTCATAATATTATAGTTCTTGCTCCAGAATTATTCCAAGTCAATCTGCGCTTTTGCAGTTGACTGATGGCAATTTATTATAATGAGGACGTTTCATTGCACAATCAGCCAATTATTCAGACTGAGTTTGGCATTTGTATCCGCCTATCGAGTCCTTCCCAGGGACCTGGGATAGGCAGATGTTCTGGTTTAATAATATTACAGGTCTCTTCGCAGAATTTAATCTAATCCAGGTCAAGCTGCCTTTTGCAATTGACTGATGGTAATTTATTCTTACGATGATAGCTCATTGCACAGTCAGCCAGATGTTCAGACTGGATATGGCTGTTTTGTCCACATATCGAGTCCTTCCCAAGGGTCTGGGGTAGGCAGATGTAGATGTTTAAAGGTCTCATTGCAGGATGGAAGCTGTCCCAGGCAGTTGCCTTCCGTAATTGATGGTGAATTTGTCAATGCCGATAGTGCTCACCCAGTCAGCTAGATGTTTAAGACTGCAGTTTAAGAACTATCGAGTTCTTCCCAAGCACCTAGAATAGGCATATGTTGTTGTTTAATAATACTAAAGATTTCGTGGAAGGATCTCAGCTGTTCCGAGCAAAGCTGCCTTCCGCAATTGACTGATGGGGACTTTGTCAATGCCGATGGTATTCAAGTGGTACTCCAGATGTTTTGGGATTGCACCCAACTCACTTATCAATGATTAATACTATCTTTGCTTTCTTTTGTCACAGTCCTTCTCCTCCCATTTCCAGGTCTCTGCATTTTGTGATTTTCTCCCTTTTTTATTATTGTCGTCCCTCCTTATGGAATGACAGGCAGTCCTCAATTTACAACAGCACATTTAGTGACTGTTCAAAGTTACAACGGCACTGAAAAAAAGGGACTTACGGC